AGTTTACTTTCCTTTCGGTTACGGTTACGTACTACTCTACTTACTACACCGACCACTACTCCTACCTACTTCTACAACAACCTACTTACTATACTCTCTCTCTCTCTCTCTCTCTCTATATATATATATATATATATATATATACATATACATATTAGGTAAACAATAGACTTCACTAAGTGGCTTGTGTTGCCTTACAGGGAATACTTCACTTTTCCATAATTTGTGTGGAGTGGGGGATAACAGAAAGTGTTAAGCCCATCTACTCCTGTTAAATGCACACTGTTGAGAAAAGGGTTTCCACAAAACTGCTTTGACAATGTATATCTATTTATCTTTTAGGTTGTACTTCAGAAGGAAAAAAAACACTGCACCAAGTGTGAGCCTGCTCTCACACCTGTTTAGTGCCTGCTGTCTATGTTTCTGGTAATCCGTTGCATAGTTTTATCAGTGTGGGATGTTATGCAGATGAGATGATTCTTGTTTGGTCCAAGCTTTTCCTCCATGTGAATTCCCCCCTTATTTGCGTTTCTGTAGTCTCAAGCTGCTGTGGAGGTTGATATAGAAAATTCCCATTGGGTTGATTTGATCTCATTGGTATGAGATTGTGTGAATGCACCCTTTGATGGAAAGTAGGGCTGGGTGTTACCTGGAAGCCCTCCTACTACACTGCAGAACAAGCTATTGCTGGTGGTTAGGCCAGCCAGATTGTCCTTTGGATGCATATCTTGGATACTTTCTCCTTGCACCTGATTATTCTGATAAGTATTTCTCCAATACAGTACAGCCTGACTTAGTGTCCTAGCCATACTTCACATTTATGCTCAGCTGACCACCTAAGAGATAATTGTTGGTTGAGCAGTCTTACATTCTGCTCACCTAACACCACACTATATATTTTGCTTTATCACTATTATCAGGGCAGAATATTCCCTGCATAAGAAGGATTCAGTCTTCCATCAAGTGATGCCCCACTAGGCTACCCTCCTCTTAACCCCATCATCAACTTATCAATGTGGGATTTTATCTCTTGGTTGTGCAGAGAGGTGAGTATACATTTCTGAAGTTCACTCTTTTCTTACCTGAAAATATATTTCAGATAGGTATTTGCTTTTCTGTACAACCTCCCATCCTTCCTCCCCACTTCCAGTTTATTTCTTTTGCTTCATCAAGAAAAAGTTTTGTTCCAATGCTAGTGTTTATGGGGGTTATTATGCATGAAGTATGTGGCACCCTTCTGTTGGTGGAGGGCTATAATCTAGTGATGATTAAATCATAGGCTGGCACAGTACATGTTAATATTTGTAGGGTGGGAGCTTCATTTAAGGCTTATGATGTGCTCAGAAATCTTCACAACAGTAGCATGAGGTAATATATCCTTGTTGTGCAAAGAAGTGAGTATGAATCTGAAATACATTTTCAGGTTAAGAAAATGTTAACATTTTTGTTCCTGCATTTTTTTAATTACTGGTTTGTAGAAAATATTCTAGAAATTTGTGAGTTGAGAAAAAAGATTTAATATAAATTACTTGTTTCTTACAAACATTGAACTGAAAATGAGTAAATTTGTAGCTAATTTAAAGTAAACCAAGAAAATGTCAAATGTGTTCAGTGTTATGTTTAAGTAAAATTTTTGAACAGTATGAAGCACCTTTTCTTTGCACATTGTCTGTTTTGGTTGACTTAGTGACAATATTGGTCTGTGTACAGAGAAGTCAGAGAGTGATTGCGAGGAAGAATGGGGCACAAGCCCTCAGGCCATCTCTAAAATGATGGAAGAATTTCGCAGGGAGAGGAACAGGAAAGACACCTTCCAGAGTAAGTGGCCTTGCTTGCTTGGGGTACATTCTTCGCACAGCAACCTTTGTTTATTCTTTAACCTTTTCTACTTATGGGTGTTCCATCACAAGCAAAATAGGCATGACTTTTGACTGTTATTTTCAAGTTGATGGTTTTTCCTTTCAGAAGTTTAGTTTTTTCATACTTATTAATACATTATACATTGGAAATTGCTTTTTTTCTGACTTTAATAACTTGGTAGGAAAATGTGCTTTATTGGATCAGTTTTATTTCATATTTCCTGAACGGTGACACTGGGGGTTATGAGCATGATAAAAAAAAATATTATTAACAATTTATATTCATTATGATAAATTAATTTAGGCTTCTAGATATCTTTTGGAATAGCTATTTGATGTACTGATAGTCACATTGTTTTCTGATCTTTTTCTTTTATCTTTATTTTCTTGGTATTGGATTTCTGTATTGAAGTTATTATTTTGCAATAACTAACATAAATATTCCCAGAAGTATGTGTGTTATAATTTGTGTTTTATGAGATGTTTTTTTTATATATTTTAATGTTAAAGCAATCTGCTGTTTTGCACTTTTGAAAATAAAAACTAGAAGAAATAAAACTAAACCTTTTTTATGTTTTTCATTTATCCTGAAGTTTTTATGATTCATGGCATACATATTTTATTTTTTGTGGCTGTTAAGAATGCAGTTTTTCCCCCATGCTTGTTTTTTATTTTGTTTGAATGGCATGCTCTTCACTCTCCTTACTAAACATATCCTTTAGGGCCCAAACGGTCTGCACTGCAGGCCATGTTGGCTACTTTATCAAATAGTAGCAATGAGGAAAACAGGCCATCATCTGTTGTCCCTGATAACTCACCATTCACATCATCACCTTCCTCCATGTCACAATCACAGTCTGGCACAGGGTTTTCTTGTGATACCCCCAGTGGAGACAGTAGATTTGGGGAGGGTTTGGGTTTGCTTGCCAACTTTGACTCACTTCTTGGGTTTGGAATTCCACCTGAAGTGAATACCAATGGTATGTATGAACATTTAACTGTTACATTTTAGCAGGCAGTTAAATTGGTTTTTATTACTATTTGTATGTAAGATGCAATTGAGATATAGAAATACCAATTCTCAATGATCTTTAATATTTATTCACCTACTCTAAGGTAAGTGATTTGATAAAATTGATTTTTTGAGTGCAATAAAATCAAGAGAAATCTTGTGAATCATTCATTTTAGAGGAATGAAAACAAACCTTGAACTTAAAAGATACTTATGTTAAATACATAATATTTTTAAACCACTTGTTTTTATTTGCTGAGTACCTTGTTTTTTTGCTTCTTAATTTTTTTACTTTTGTGCATCTGACTTGCTAAAACAAATTCATTACAAAAATTTGATTCCAAATACTTATAAGTATTTTTACGAATATAAAAAGTCTTGATTTCTACAGTTCTGCTACCTCAAAGGCTATTTTGATTGTGATTAAGCATGTTCATAATAGAATAACAATGATAAGGTTCTAGCATTTAATGATATATACTGGTCTAGTTGTCAAAATGTTTATGATAATTTTATGAAAGGCATAAGTTTATTTAGGTTTGCATTTCTTTGGAGAATTTTTATCTACTTATTTTCAAACTTTTCAGAGTTAGAATTTTGTATTTGGAAGATGTAGTACTAAAATATATAAACATTTACACATAATTTGAAATCTTGCATTTTAAAATACAAAAGTTTTAAATATCTGAGTAATATTTTGGAGAAGTTAGTTCTTTGAAAGTGCTAGATTATTTCAACTTTTATATGATATAGATATTTATTTCAAAAATGTGGTAATTACTGAGGGTTAATGACACACTATAAGAATAATGTTCCATGCTATGTGCTGTTCTTTAATCTACTTCCTCCTTTGTCAGCCATTCTTAATCTGTTGGTCATGGTTGTGTATTATTGGCCAACTCTGTAATTTTTGTTGCATCAATCTATTGTGAAGGATGACAAGGTCAATTACAGACCAATCATATTGATAAATTTCTTCAGACCAGTAGATGCTGGCTATATTCTAGCAGACTAAAGGTATAAAATTTCATTGAAATGCATGACAGGAAAGTGATAAAATAAAATTGGCATGATTCCAGTTTCTTCTACCATCTTTCTCATGAACAGCCATTTATTTTGAGGTCTGGCTGAAAATTTTTCATCCTTTGTGAACTTCAAACCATTGTTTGTTGTTCTTGTGAATGTTTCCAGAAGATATGCTGAGCTTCATTGCAGTGGATTTTTTTGGGATGGAGGCTTATTTTTCATTATCGTAGTCTTCACTTTGTGAATGAGGATGTTGCTCTGGTTTGACTTGGGGTTGGTCTTGGAGTTTGTTGCTGTTTGAAATGTTTGATTGTGGGATTTTGTCAGTTATCATGTTGTGTCATTTGGCTCTTTATTACTTAATAATCTTGCTACACAGATATTCTTACCAGGAAAGTGCTGAGATATTCCTCTAGCTACAAGTATATTTTGGCAGATAGAAAGGAAGTTGCCATGAGTCAGATGTTAAACATGTGATGCTGATGGCTGTACTTGCATCTTCTGAACATTCTTATAAAGTGTGATTAATACTCTGTATATTCTAATGCTCAGAAGTTTTGATATCAAATATGTGCTCTTGTGACAAAATGAATTTTTTTTATTCAATTTGGTGATACTATGATAATAGTATTGTTATATAGTTATCAGGCATATGGTCTCATATTGTAATAAGTATTTAGCTTGGATTTTTATTTCTGGCTTTGCTTACTGGTGCTTAAGCTAATAACGTTTTTCTTGAAATTTTATAAATTTGTTAGAGAATGGTGTACTTTAATGTGTTATGATATTAACAGTAAATCATATTTTGATGTAATACGTGCTGTGAATTATGCTGTGTGTAATTCTAAAAGAGTACTACCATTACTCACCCAAAGCTATCTCGAACTTGATTTGCCCTCTAGGCATTGCTAAAAAAGTTTTTGCTAATAGTGCACCAGTCTATTATACCCCTTTTGCATCATTTCAGAACATGTGCATATCATGTGACTACTCTCCACCAATCTGCTCCACCTATATTAGCTATGGTAGCTCCCTCTACTATTCTAGCACAATTCTCACTTTCTCGATTGGTATTACAATGTATAGATGTATTTACTTCATTCCATGTGGTTGCTTTTATGTTGTGATTGCATTTCAGTCCTTCACTAGTTTAAATTTTAAAAAATGTTTCACCTGTAGCCTTTGATTCCTCTCTTTCCTTGTTGGGTGAAGAACCTCGTTCTGATTATTATGTTTTTTTCCCTCATCTGACATCCGAGTTCATGCTCAATGTTTTGCTGATCATTTGCTGTCGGTGCGGGTCTACCCCTTCCCCCCGGTTGTTGGACCAATATTCTTGGGCCTCGATTCTCTTTTTGGATTCACAACACCTGGATCCTCTCCTCCTCCTGTGGGGCTTGAATCCGGGGGCTTTGATCCACTTTAATCAGTCTCTGTTTTCTAGGATTTGTCTTGTCCTGACTACTATTTTGTGTGTTGTTTTCTCATTACAGTTATTGTCTCAAGCCTTTCACCAGTTACTGGATCAATTTTCTGATGAACTAAGGACCCTCCTGTGGTCTACTCTGGCACGTTTATCAGCAATTGTGCTGTCTCTCAATACCTGGTTATTATGTTGTTGGGATTTGCTGGGGAGAGATGCATTGCTTGAGGGGGTGCATCTTCCCTGTCTTCTTTGAGGGATCTTCGTCATGCCCTGTTTTGGGGGTTGTCCTGAGTGTATGGAGTCTAGGGTTGATGTGGTGAGGCTACATTCCTCCTTGTTCTCCCTGGCATCTTGTTTGTCTTATCCTGTTGTTCACATCCTAGCTTTACCGGTTCAAGTTCCCCATACCCCTTCTTCCTCTTCCCATCCCTTACCCTATTCCAGGTATTACTGGCAATATCTTTGTGTTTCCCGTGCTCATTCCTCCAGGATTAAGTGGTATAGGTGATGGGATGTAGTTTCCAGGGCAGGTGGGGGCCAGATTGCAACAGTTCTCAACTTTTTGGTGTATCTTCATGATGGATCTGTGGGTTCTATGGGTTCTCTCAGAAGGTCTTTGCCTTCAGTTCAGGTCCCCACCCCATCCTCTTCCCCAGTTTTCCTCCTTCTCAGGATCGTGCCTCGTTTAGTCATCTCGCAGAGTCAGTTCAGGACCTCCTACATAAAAGAGCTATCCCGTCTATCTGTTGTTCCCAAAGAGATGGGAGATTAGAGACCCATCATAGATCTGTCCTGGCTGAATACCTTTCTGGAGACACTCCGGTTCACCATGGAGTCCTACCTCTCCCTTCATTGTGTTTTCTTCCCAGGACTCTGGATGACCAAGTCTGATGTGACAGACTCCTATTTTCATATTCCCATAACTCCAGGGTCACATCATTTTCTTCGGTTTGTCCACGAGGGCTGTGTCTGTCAGTTCCATGTACTGACATTTGGTCTGGCTTCAGCTCCTTATGTGTTGTGTGTCTAATGATTTGCTCATTTGCTCCTCATCTTCGCTGGGTCTTCAGACTCATCATTACATAGATGAGTACATTACTTGCCTCTTCCCAGGTCCAATCAGTATCTCGATAACACTTGTTGATCATAATATACATGCTTATGCATGGTGCTTCCACTGGATGTTTCTTCCTGATTGGACCACACTTGACTTACTTGATAGAATCCCAAGGTGCTTCCTCTGGATGTTTTTGCCTGGGCAGACTGCACTTGGACTACTCCTATATATCCAAGGTGCTTCCCCCTGGGTTTTGCCTGGGCAGACTGTATTTGTTGATTTCTGTATCTTATGCAAGGTACTTCCACTGGATGTTTTCTGCTCGGATGGACAGCACTTGACTAAGTTGACATATCCCAAGGTGTTTCCCCTGGATGTTTTTTTTCCGAGCAGACCTCACTTGGCAATAATATTATATATATCCAAGTTACTTCTCCTGGGTGTTTTTTGCCCTGGTGGACCACAATTGTTGATCTTTGTATCTTATGCAAGGTGTTTCCACTGTTGCTTATGCCCATATGGACCACATTTGGCATAATCCTACGTTTCAAAAGGCGCTTTTCCCAGATATTTTTTTTCCCAGGCGGACCACATTTGGCCTATTTATATATAATTTATGGCCCTTTAGCCCGAGCCACTTATTTCTATACCACATTATCTGGCACATTCCTATAATCAATTATTTCTATATCACATATTATGACCTACTACATATGTGGATGAATAATGCACTATCTGTTGACAATGGGCTGATTCCAAAGTATCGGACAAACTATCATATCACTACATATTAATGAGGCTTCCCCTGGTTTTTTTTTGAAGGGGAAGATCATTCTTGTTGCTATCAATATCCTCGACAAGACATCAATGGACTTGCTTCAGTGTGCCAAGACTCTTTCCTTGGCACGATATTTTTTCAGGTTTGATGTTGGTTCTATACTAGACGTTTCATATTGCTATCAATATCCTCGACAAGACATCAATGGACTTGCTTCAGTGTGCCAAGACTCTTTCCTTGGCACGATATTTTTTCAGGTTTGATGTTGGTTCTATACTAGATGTTTCATATGTCCACTCTATGCAGATTCACATCATAGTTATACCTCACTGCTCCAAAGCAAAGGGCTGTATATCTTTTTCTTGAGTATATGATGCTTACCTCATAAATTATGCTCTCTCTATATATATATATATATATATTACTGTTTTGTTACTGGGCAAAGAGCATACCTGTTCCAGAAGTAGTGCTATATCCCAAAGGTGTGCCCTACTTTCTTTTTCTGTTCTTTTCAGGAGGTTGTTCTCCACTTATTTGACTATTGTTGAACCTTCACAGACCCCTCCACCTTTTCAATATGGGATTCTAGCTTTGGATGAGAGGAGGTAGTACTATTCTGGAAGTTAAAATTTTCCTACACTGAAAATGTATTTCTGATAGATACTTTTCTCTACTCACCCACTTCCCACTAGTATGCCGTTTTTTTAGTTTGTAACTGCCAATCCTCGAGAATGAGGATTGTGGTAGAAAAGTAGAGTGAACTACCTGCACTAGTATAGGTGGCACAGTATGATTGGTGGAGGGTAGTCACATGATATGCATGTTCTGAAATGGTACAAAAATAAAGAGGTATAATGGACTGGTGCAATATTAGTGAAACATCTTTTAGCAATGCTTAGAGGGCAAATCAAGGTCAAGATAGCTTTGAGTTATAGGAGGTAAGTACCAATCATAATTACATATTCAGTGTATGAAAATAACTTTAATAAAATTATTACTGTACAGTTATTGCACTGAATGTATGTTTTACAAAACTATGGGTTCTTATGTATGTACATGTTGTTTCCATCCTGTATGAATAGGTAGGAAGGTATGTGTAAATGAAAAAAGGTTATTTTAAATTTTCTTTAAAATATTTCATATAAGATTAAAATAAAATATAAGGAGAAAATTATATTTTGTCCATATCATTAAAAAAAATGTGAATGAAAAATTAATAGTGATCTTGTACAAGACTTCTGTTTAAAGTATGTGAAAACAAGTAAATTTCTTTGTTGGTTTTGTAGGTGTACATGGGGGAAATTTAACATTTGGATCTGGTTCAAGATGTCCTCTCCTTGGCTCAAAATGTGATGATGAGAATATGGACACAAGCTTAGGACTTGGTGAACTGGCAGGAATAACAGTCAGTAATGAAGCTGAATCTTGCTATGATGTACGTTTGTTGTAGTACTTGTTAGATGGTTTGTGTGTTTATGTGTCTAAGTATATTTGTGCTTCCTTGTGATTATAGTAAGTGGTACTCTTCTGCACTGAAACATTCTTTGTAATCTTATAAAATACAGACTGATAAGGCCATTTGTTTTCCCTTTTTCTTTACATTTTTATATTGTGGTAGGTATTAGGTTATTGTTATTTGTGTACATTTTTGACAGGTAAATGAAAATAACCATTAAACTGAACAGTGACATTATTAATGAGCTGTGAACAATATTACTTTGATGTAAAATATATGTACACCTATATTGACTTTATATGTTTGGCGATGATTTTGTTTTGGTTTAAAATTGTCAAGAAACATTAGATATGTCATGAATTAAAAGTAAGCCATACTAAATAGCATGAATGTAAGGCATCCATAGGGTGGTAGTTCAAACATTGTTTCAAAAAGATGCAATAAATTATTAATATATATTCACATCTAATAAATTTAGTGTAAGTTTAGTTGACCCAATACATTATTTGCATAATTCAGGTGTACATAAAATTCTGATTCAATGAAATTGTCTTTGAAAATTAAACATTAGAAAGAACTATGCAAACCTGGTGAAATGTTGTGAACAAAATAAACAAAATTTTATGATGTACAATCAACAAAAAACTTGTGTCTTTGGAAATTTATTTATTTTTTCTAAACAATGCCCTGTACAAAACTACAACCTATTTATTAGTTCTCTTGGGAATACTAATTCCGATATGGTACATTATCTCTTCTCACATAATTAGCTTTTCTCGTTCATGGCTGCCCTCTATATGTAACAAAAAACAATTTTATGCATACCACAAACCTTTTGCCTCCCCTTCATTGGAAATGACACATTCCAATGTGTCTTTCATGTAAAACATCATGTGACAAACATCCACCAATGAGAGTACCACACACTCTCGTTACGCATGTGACTCCCCCTATTCAATTTTACCAAATTATCATCTTGTATCACTTCTCGTTTTGCAGTGCTCGTGTTTAGATGTTTCAAACTTTGCTCTCGTGTGCTTTGTCCTTCTAACTTTAACAGTTAGACTTCTTTTGATTATACAACTGACAAATTTATTTTAAATTTACTTTCCAGTCTTTTTTTGTTTTGTCTCTCAAACAATTTGTTTGATTTATTATTTACCATGAATTCCAAGGTTAATGTGACTACTTCTGGTCTCACACCTACTATAAGCACTTTTTCACTGGCTGTGGGTGGGGTGACTCATCGTGGAGTTATTGGCAATTATTCACCAAGAGATTGATCATTATATGGGTCAACCACCTTCTCCTGAAGTTGCCCTTCTTCCTGACGATCAATCCAAACCTGTATGTTTTGATAAAGATTTTGATAGCCTTTTTCCACCACCCAATTTTGCCATGTCTTCCTATACTGCACCTGCAGAATCAGCTAGGTCTAATACAGTGTGTTTAGATATGATTGATCAGGTATCTGATGTTTTATCCCTTTCCCCAATTTCCTATGATCCCAGTTGTTGGGGGCCTATTATGCCGGTTTGGGGAGGCACTCCCTGATTTTCCGGTGCATTTAACCCATGCCCAGTTTTCGTGCTTTTGTCTTTCCCTTACTTCACTTCTACAGTATTTATCTACCATACATCTCCTTTCAGAGGCTATGCACCGAAATCTTGAGAGTTTTTGAGGGACAGCCTCTCCCTTATTACCTCCAGTTTGGCTTGTTTGTCATCCTCAGCTCTTGCCTTACACACGTCCTTTCTCTGTTTTTGGGATTTTCTGGGTTGTGATGCGGCCTTGTCACAGGTTTGTTTGCAGCCCACTTATCTCGGGGAATTATGTTTAGCTCCTTTTCTTAGGTAGTATATTTTTGATCATATCCCAGATCTATTGGAATCATGAGTGGAATCCCTGCATCAACACTCAACCCTTTCTTCTTTGGTAGCTCGTTTGTTGCAGTCAGAATAACAACAAGCTCCTATTCCTGTTTTCCATCCTAGTCCTTCTTCCTTCTTGTTTTCTTTGACATAAATTGGCACGATGCAAACAGTACCCAGTGACTACCTAGTGGGAGCTTGATTGTGCCACTTTGTTCCCCTTTGACGATATTTCATCAGAGATCATTGGGTTATTTGCGTTCTCTCAGACGAACTTGTCCTACAATTCCTTTCCCCTCCTTCTTTGTCACAGATACCCATTTCCTTCCCTCTGCCTCGGAATCCCATTACCAACCAACATCTTTCAGAGGCAGTTCAGGACCTTCTGTCTCAACAGGTCATCGAACCTGTGAATCATCTTTCTCACAGTTTTTATTCTTGGCTGTTTCTTGACCCCAAGAAAACCAGAGACTGGTGGCCTGTCATAGATTTGTCATGCCTCAATCAATTTCTCATTCTCCTTCGTTTTACCATGGAATCGTTTCTCACCTTTAGGTGGGCTTTTTCTTCAGGATTATTGATGACCAACATGGATGTTACTAATGCTTACTTACATAAACCAATAGCTTGGCAGTTGTGACCATATCTTTGGTTTGTCCATAGAGGGGTGATTTGTCAGTTTTGTGCACTATCCTTCAGACTTGCCTCGGCCCTGTATGTTTTTGTTGGGTGGTTCGAATTTTTGCTCATTATCTTCATACTTTTGGGATACGTTTTTATTTGCCCTTGATGATACATGTACTCTTTATCATCATGCATATCTTCTCCTTCATTTGGATCATTCTTTCCTCTCTAAAATCTCGG